AACCCTAAGTTTGTAAGATAAAAATGTACAAAATGGAGGATTACGGTAGCCAATAATCCTGAAGAAGGGCATGAGAGGTGCAATTTTATAGAGCTTTTTTTGGATTTTGTTATTTTTTGATTCCAAAAAAAGACCATTTATGTTTTTATTGGAATCAAAAGGCAGGTGTCGTGTCTAAAATGTCTAGGATCCTTGAAAAAAAACATAGAAAAGTCTCAAAACAAAAAAATGTGGATGCAGGAAATTGGGAAGAAAAGCGAAAAAAAGGTGGGAATTCAGAAGCACTGTCTATTTTGAGCTCAATTATCTCGGCTCCTATGAGTGATAACAAAAATGTGTCAACTGATAAAATATTTGTGATAATATGATAAAAAATTCTTCAGTTGACAACGTTTTTATATCTTTAACAAGAAACGAGATGAATCGGCTCAAAATTGAAAGGGCTCTTTTAGTACAGATTTAAAGGGAAACATCAAAATGAATAGTTTGGGTGTATTCTACTTGGTTCAAAATCAAAATTGAGAGAAGATTACTTCTAAAACTTTCTCCAAACGTTTTAAATTGATAAAATATGAAACTTCCTTTTCTACTATCACTATCAACTATCAGTACATATAAATTTAAAACAACAAAACATGTATCAACTATATACAGATGATATTACCAGTTCATACTCCCAAAAAAGTGAAAAGAAGAAGAAAAAGGAAACAAAGTGTCATAAAAAAACCATAAACTAAAGTGCCAAAACCAATCAGTCGTTTTAGAAATTGATGATTTTCAATTATAGAAAAAGAGACGCAGACAGTGATGAGGCCTCATTAAGCCAATTTATCTCGATTTCTTTAAGAGATATCAAAAGTTTATTAATTGATAAAATGTTTATCATAATATCATCAACACTTTATCAGTTGACATACTTTCGATATCTCTTCTAGGAACTTAGATAATTGACCTTCCAGATGGGAGCTCTTCTATTAAAAGGTTTTCTCTTTTAATAGAAGAAAAAACCCAGAAAAAATAGTTCCAAGTTTGTTTCCGTGAAAGAAAAAAGAAATTTGAAACCTCGGGTCGCCTAAATATATCCGGTTAATTAACCAATTAAAATCCAATTACAAAGAAAAAGAGAGAACCGCTTAAAAGAAATAAGAAACAAAAATAAAATGTCTCTCTCTCTTCCGAAAAAGGAAAATTGAAGTCTGGTGGTCAGAAAGACAAAGTAGTACTACTACTGACCTTCTTCTCCATTTTTTCCGTTAGAAAAAGGAGAACTTTGAGGAGAGAGAGAGAGAGAGAGAGAGAGAGAGAGAGAGAGAGAGAGAAAGAGAGAGAGAGAGAGAGAGAGAGAGAGAGAGAGAGAGAGAGAGAAAGGGAGAGAGAAGATCGCCTAAATGAGATATGCAAACTGATGGACAGGCAGTTCGGAGAAGAAGGAGAAGTGTCATGAAAATGAAAACAAGCAAGTAATTATTGGATTTGAGACCGAGACTCAAATTTAGAGTCATGGGAATGTAAATTTTCCGATTCCAACAGAAATCAGAAACTTTTCCAGATTCTAAGATTCTGAAGAAATTCAGAAATTCAGAAATTCAGAAATTCAGAAATTCAGAAATTCAGAAATTCAGAAATTCAGAAATTCAGAAATTCAGAAATTCAGAAATTCAGAAATTCAGAAATTCAGAAATTCAGAAATTCAGAAATTCAGAAATTCAGAAATTCAGAAATTCAGAAATTCAGAAATTCAGAAATTCAGAAATTCAGAAATTCAGAAATTTTAGAAATTCAGAAAATCCAAATCTTTGGAAAATTGAGAAGTTCGACAAAATCGAAAAACCGCAAATTCCAAAAATCGGAAATCCAGATCTTTTTGAAAATCACATGCTTCTGAAAATCAAAATCAAGAACGCCTGTGATAGGTAAATTCTGAATTCACGAAAAAAATGCCCCTCTAATTGAAGGGTTCCATGTACTAGAAGGGCGTTCCGGAGGTACCTTAAATAGAAAGGCATGTCCTTCTTATACAGGTTTTACGTTAAATTTGATCAAAGTTAAAGGTTGATGTTCAACATTCAAAATCTACTATCGTCCCAATCTTCTCAAATTCTCCCCCTAGATTTTAAAGGGACACACACACACACAAAACAACAAAACCGAACGGGAAAAATGAAACACATAGAAACACACCAACCGCTAGTTTTCCAAACCGAGAAGACAGACAAAACAGAAGAGGAGGATCCGGTTTTTATTTTGAAAAAAAAAACAACGGTGAGGAGGATTCTTGGTGGTGTTGCGCAACACCACGTCTTCTGTTTGTATATTCTGATGAGATGAGGTTTGGTTCGAAATACTAAATGGTATTGGTTTTCGGGACAAGGGAGCGTGGTTTACTTTTCTTGGAGACTTTGAATTGGATTTGAGGCAAAAAATAGGGGGCGGAGTTTTGGAATCATGGGAAATAGTGGAACTGGAACCAATAAAATTTTAGGATAAACGGACGAAACATCGATGAAGAACGGATAACTTTGAGCCAATTTATCTCATTTTCTATCAAAGATAGGAAAACGTTGTCAACTGATAAAATGTTCATCATAATATCAAAAACATTTTATCAGTTGACACATCTTTGATAACTTGCATAGGAATTGAGATAATTGAGCTCAAACTTGTGGTGCACAAAAACCACAAATAGAAATATGAAAGAAAACCGATAGAGGCAAAAAAATTGGATAGCAGCAGGAATAGAACAAATGAATTGTTCTTTTTTTTGCCTCTAAAACAATTGAATGGTTGTAGTGGCAATAGGAAAAGCGGGGGCTCGTTTTACAATACGGGTAAAGGTGTAAAATAGGAAATGGGAAAATAGAACAGAATAAGAAAAGAAGGCCAAAAATCGGTTGGAATTAGCCGAGGGAATTGGCTAGACAGTGACAAGAAAAATCCCAAAAAATCAGCAAAAAATTGGTGAAATTGTGACTCAAGATAGCTGAAAATTAAGTTCGAAATGTCAAAAAAAACTATTTTTTAAAGAATTTGAGATTTTTTGATTTTTTGAATTTCTGAATTTCTGAATTTCAGAATTTCTGAATTTCCAAGTTTCTGAATTTCCGAATTTCTGAATTTCTAAATTTCTAAATTTCTGAATTTCTGAATTTTCTTCAGAATCTTTGAATCTCAAAATTCAAAATTCTAGAGAAAAAGCTCCAAAGCGAAGATTCGCAAAAATCAGAAAGTCAAAAAGAGAACTTTCGAGCTTTCGAAAATCTTCAGGCTTAAAGAGATAAGGAACCATGAATTGCTAAAAAAGGATTTTCCAAATTTTCAGCTAGGAATTTTTCAGATTTTTTTGCTCAAAATCCTCTGCTAAATTCCCTCTAGAATTCCAGAAAACCCTCATAAAAAAGCAGGAGGAAGCAGAGAATTGGAAGTTGAGCCGTATTCCATCGATCTCATACATAGCAGAATCGTAAAAATGGGTGTGAGGAGGAGAACCCGAGAACCTCTATGAATTGGCAAAAAGAAAAAAACGAAGAAGTGCATTATTTTCTTTAGGGCCATTCAGAAAAGAGCACAAATGTGCTCTCCGAGAACACATTACTCAATTTTTTGCGTTCTGTTTCTGAAGGGGTGTTCGGAGGGAATTTAATGGGTTCTTTTGTTTTTAGTACTACGAATTGGGGTCGGTAATATTCAGAAAAATCGGAAGGGTCAGTTCATTCTTGAGGTTTCGATTTAAGGAAAAAAGAAAAAATGGCTTCAAAAAAAATTTCAAAAATATATACTGTACCTTTGAGCCCAATTAGCTCAGTTCCTGTTAAAGATATGAAAAAGTTGTCAACTGATAATTTTTTTATCATAATATCACAAATGTTTTATCAGTTAATACACTTTTGATATCTCTTAAAGAACCAAGATAATTGAGCTCAAAATGACAGTGTTGGGGGGGGGGGGGTACATAAAACATCTAGCCAGAGAGTTGTAATGACATGGAGGTTAGAGTCTCGGAGGAAAAAGTCAGAGTTTGCAAAAAAAAGTGAACAAGACGTGTCTTCTTTCTCTCCCTACCTTCCCAATATTTGCCAATGCCAACAAGAAAAAAAGGGACAGTATACATGAAGCGTGGGGGCTCATCACCTCTCGGGTGGGGATCAGAGGGATAGTAGTACTTGTGCTCTGGTGTTTAGTAATATAGTAGGGTCTTGGAAAAAGGTCAAGGAGTAGTCTAGTGGGAATTATTGTTATTTCCATTGAAGATACGGTAAAGTAGTTAACTAGCGCTACCATCAATTTTCAACCTTATACCTTATACCTTATACCTTATACCTTATACCTTATACCTTATACCTTATACCTTATACCTTATACCTTATACCTTATACCTTATACCTTATACCTTGTACCTTATACCTTATACCTTATACCTTATACCTTATACCTTATACCTTATACCTTATACCTTATACCTTATACCTTATACCTTATACCTTATACCTTATACCTTATACCTTATACCTTATACCTTATACCTTATACCTTATTGAGAAATTTGGATAAAAGAAAAAAGAAAAACTAATTTCAACAGATTCGGATGAGCTTCGGATGAGCTCAGAACGTTCAAATGACTCCTACAGAACCTAGCCCTCTGGGATCAATTTCCTTTACCCATCTATCCATCCGGTCCACACCCCTTGGTAACAATCTCAATCCTTCTCGTTGGAACGGTAATCCAATACCCCTCACCCGCTATTCATTATATTTTGGTCCTCCTCCTCCTCCTACGTGGTAGAACTATCGCAGGGGAGGAAATTGGGAGATGAGCAATGAGCAATAAGACAACAGTTACTGCTGACAGAAAGGTCAAACGAAGATCGGGTTACAAAAGAAGCTACTAGGTCAAAACAATTTGCAGTTTGTAGATTCCAAAAGTTCAACTGAAACGGAAAACAATATGAAAAATTGACTTCAAATCACCCATTTTTCTGAAAATCAAGATTCTGAAAATCCACGTACCCGCTCTGGCAAATCACACCGCTGATCGTCCAATCGGTTGCTTTGCATCCTTTCGATGAGGTTGAGGAAGTCCTCGCTCTGAAATAATTAGTTAGTTTAACTGATTGGAAATCCTATTCATCTTAATTGAGGTTAATTAGAAAGTTGGTCTGCTAGCCTACAAACTACATAAGAAACACTGGCAGACCAATCTTGCGCGCATTGGAAATGTGCCAGAAATGGCCGTCAACTATGAACCTATTTTTCTCATTTTCTGTAAAAGATATCAAAAAGTAGTCAACTGACAAAATGTTTATCATAATATCACCAACATTTTATCAGTTCATAAATTTTTGATATCTTTCATAGGAACTGAGATAAATTGCCTCAAAACTTACTTTTTCTGCATTATAATTAACTCCGGTTGTGAACAGCCCATGCTCATGCATCTTTTCCAAGTCTCTGTAGTATCCGTCGGTGTTCAATGAGTTGCGTCTGGAAAATATAAAAGTTGGTCTCAATTTTGGGTATTAAAATCGAATATCCGAAAGATTCCTCTAGATTTTGAGGTTAAATGCACCATGTCAACTTTTTTGCCTTGTCTTGTCCTACCCCCTATTAAGTTTCCATTTCCTATAAATTGTTTAATGAACTGGAAAAACAAAGACTAGTCTTTATATGATCTTTTTTCAAACTTTTTTTTCTAAATCGTGATTCACAGTACCGCTATCTAAACTTCCAGATATCACATTACTTATCATAACTATACAAAGTTGTACTGTACCCTGTGATTAGGATTAGCAATCTACGGAAATTAGAAAAGGAATATTGGGTAGACATGCGGAAGGAAGGAGAACTAATTAGAAGAAAGGATGATTCAAAGTTTGTGAGGAAACGAGATAAAGATAAAGAGAGGTAAAAGGGAATGGACTTTTTGAAAAGTACAAGGGAAGTTGTGAAATTTCAGAGAATTCAGAGATTTTCGAAATGCTAAGAAGAGAAGATTAAGGATCATTGCTGAGAACAGGACATGTGCACTTTGAGCTTGATTATCTCAGTTTCTATGAGAGATAGCAAAAATGTGTAAACTGATTAAATGTTGGTGATATTATGATAAGCAATTTATCAGTAGACAAACTTTTTGTATCTTTTATAGAAACCAAGATAAATGGGCTCAAAGAGCACCTATTTCCAAATTTCAAGCCTAGAAAGTCTAGAAAAAACTCTGAAAACTTGAAAAATCAATTCTGACAATTTCCAGACATTCTAGACTAATATACCTAAAACTCAAAATCTCATTCATCTGGAGTCCCCCTCTCCCGAGGTACCTCAAGCCAAGTAAAAAAGTTTAAGCATCTCATTACACACCCAGGTTTTCTATATCACATGAAGAAATGAAATGTTCATGTGCTAGCCTAGCTGAACTTCCAGATGTCTGAGTTTTATGCTGATCAGAATCCAGGAATCGGGATGAAAAGAACAAGTTGTGGGCGGAAGGAAGAAGCTAAAAAATCGAAAATCGAGCAATCAAGGGATTTGGGATTACAAATCCAGCTTTTCTAATTTTTGGAGTTTTGAGAACCTAGAATCAGGGAATCTTCAGAATTCAGACTCTCAGGAAATTTCAAAAAAGACAATTTCAAATTTCTTGGATCCCTGGCACCCTTAAAGCCAAACGACTCTCTGTCTCAAATAGACGTAGGAATACTCAATGAGATTAAAATTAGGTCAAACATTAGATGATTGCCACTTTTTGGGTTCCAACGTTTTTCGGAATTTAAAATGTGATTAAAAATCAATAGACAGGATGAAGATCAAACTGTTTGGATAAGAGGCATTCAAATTAGAATTGGGTCCTTAAATATGAATTAGGAATGAGTTATAGATTAGAGATCATAGGAGCAAAAAAAAACTGGGCTGGAATAGTCATAAAATCTAAGATCCCTTAAAAAAGCTAGCCTGAAAGTCATTAAAAAACTTAGCTATGAGCTAGTTTGGAGGTCCCAGAAAAAGGATAGAGGTAACGAAATAGTTTGAAAGTCTGAAATTGGCAAAGAGGTCCAACTTTTGAGTTTTTTGGACCTCTAAACTAGAACACAGGCAAAAAATAACCCTACATTTTTCCAGGATTTCCCCAGAATGCTCTTTTCTTCTCACATGTGTTCTAACACGTAAATTCTCTCTCTCTCTCTCTCTCTCTCTCTCTCTCTCTCTCTCTCTCTCTCTCTCTCCTTTTGTTCTTTTTCCTCTTCTTCGTTTTCATCAGCTTATTTCCCCTCGCTCTGCTGTTTTCCTGGGTTCAGGAGGCGATACTTTACGATGGGAATGAATTTTCCCTCTCTAGCTCACTCTCTCTCAAGAAATTTCGTGTCATTTATACAATCGAAATGAGCAATCCAGATCTCTCCGGAAAAAAGATGATGAAATGCCCGGAGAGAGAGAGAGAGAGAGAGAGAGAATCATAAAAATGCGGTAAAATTTTTCGAGGAGGAGAATCGAGAAAAAATGTGAAGAATGATGGGTTTCTTGTAGGGAGATTTATAGGGATTCAGTGTTTCAAGGAAAGTGCTAAGCTTTCTAAATTTCTGACAATCGCCCTAAATACCGTACAACCTGTAAGAGAAGGGCTCTCAAACTTTCAAGTTTAAGCGAAATTATCTCAGTTCTTGTTGAAGAAATGAAAATGTCCCCAATTGATGAAATATTTGTGAGATTATGGTAAACAGTTCATCAGTTGTCATTTTTTCAATATCTTTTACCGGAACCGAGATAAATTGGCCCAAAGCTAAACGTTGAAGAACCCTTCTACTTAATTAGTCAACCGCTAATTAGGATCACCCTAATTAGTAGAAAATAGCAAAGTGCCTAATTTGAGTGTAATTTTTATAGTTCCAAACTGAAATTCAGTAAATTTTGGTTCAAAGCTTTGAACGAAAGGTTTCTCCGGGACTGATCACAACAGTTACTACCTAAAGTTCAAAACCTGCACTTCAAATTAAAAAAAAAGAAAGTATAAAAAAGGAATCTAAAAATCCAAAAAAATCATGCTAACCAAATAAACAGATCAATAAATCTAGATCAATAAGTCTTGATAATAACATCTCTAGATGCACAGGGACCCAGATATCCTCTCCCACCACCAAGAAGACAATAACAATTAACAAGGTGCTAAGCACTTGTACACAGAAGACATGATGAGCGGCGAGAGGGAAAAGAGAGAGAGAGAGAGAGAGAGAGAGGGGGGGGGGGCGGGGAGAGAGGATCCATCAATTTGTAGAGAGGTCCTTTCTCTCTCCCAGTTTCTCCTTTCTTCACATTTCGACACACACACACATCAAAATGACCACTTCACACTCAATTTTTTTGGGGTGAGAGGTATTGGCGGGAACACAGATTTAAAGGGGAAGAAAGTGTGCATTATTGCGTGACGGTGCTTACACCTGCCACTTTTAGTTTTGACAACCGTACTTCTACAAGCGCTAGATTCTATTTTCACTTCAAAAATACGCCGAAAATGGATGTCTCAGAATTCAGCGAATAACTGAAAAACTTGAAATTGTCGAAAAGTTCTGTAAATGCAAAATTTTCAATCTAGGCCTTTTTTATACCATTCAAAATTTTCAAAGTGATCGGAAGCTTGAGACCTCTGAAAATGGTCAAAATTACCAAAAATCAAATGAAAAATACGTTTTTTTAGAATCATACCCATTTCAAACCATGTAATTCTGTTCAAAAACCAACTTCCTAGCACATCTAGAAATCGAAATACGGTCATTTGAAGTTTCGAGGTTAGAGACGCAGTGTGTCTCGTTGTCTGCGTCTCTAGCCTCCTAAATTTGAAGCGGCTTTATCTCGGTTCCTAGAAGAGCTAGAAATGTGATTTTCAGACAGAATTGTAGGATGTTTCGTCTATTTTGGAATTGACAGACCCATTTGTGAACCAATTTCTGACAAGTTAAAAACATTTGAATATGTCCAATAATAAACTGAAAAATGCGTTTTCGAATATCTTATTGACCTAGTACTGTATGTAATCCATTAAGAAAGTGACAAAAATACTGCTACCTTAAAAAAAGTTCAGGATATCCAGACTTTTTCCTATTGACTTTTTTGGCATTAAAGGTGGGGGGACAGGAGATTTTTCGTAGTTTTTTTGTAGCTAGAGTATGCATTCTATCGTCACGGTGTACAACGCTTAATGTCACTCTGCGTACAGCTGTCGGAATTTCGAGAAAATTATTTTTTTCATGTCCCCCCACCTTTAAAAAGAGCTCTGGACATGTAAAAGGACATGTTTTTTTGGCAATTTTCGTAAAAGTGTTTTAATGAAAAAAACACACATAAACATTTTGTGTCCTCTCTATCCCTCAATGAGAAGGACAGAGAATTTGGTTGGAATTTAAAATGTTAGAATTTTTTAAATTTGAAAAAGATAGGACAAAAAACATAGAAAACGAAGATATAGGGAGAATGAATAGTTGGAATTTAGGAGTTCTGGATTTTTAAAAAGGATTTCAGGAACCTAAAAAACTAGGAATCTAAAAATCTAGAAATCTAGAAATTTAACGATTTAGGAATTTAGGAATTTGAGAATCTAGGAGTACAGGAATCTGAAAATCTAGGAATCTAGGAATCTAGGAATTTTGTAAGGGAACTAGGGTTGTACAGAATTTCTATAATTTCTAGGATTTCTAGGATTCTTAAACCTTCTAGATTTCAGATTTAGAATCCCAAAAAATTTTGAATCACCTCAAGCATGGATCCTCCAATCGCTCGTATTTCGGTTGATTACGGAGCCGATTCCAGATATGGAATATCATTTTTCTATCAGTCATTTTTCAGAATATCTGACACGACTTCAGCAACTTATTCAGAGTTGTTGAATAAAAAATTTTTGGAGGCTTTTTCTCAATTTCCGGTCGGATGGCTGAATTGTTTTTGTGGCTATCAGTGATATGTGTTATCACTGGAGCGTGATTATCACATTTCTTCAGTGATGGCTCACATTCATTAGAAAAGTCAGGAGGTGTGAAGAAAAAGTAATGTTACAAATTTGAAAAATATAGATGGGTGTGGAAAATTCTGAGAATTTGAAAAATCAAGAAATTCAAAATCTCAGAAATTCTCAAAATATTAAAATTTAGAGGAATTCGAGAATTTGAAAAATCTAAAAATCTGAAAAATCTGGAAAGTTTTTAAGATTAAAAACCCCATAAACTCTTAAAATCAAAAAATCCTAATAATCCAAACTCCGAAAATTTGTCTATTCTACCTTTGAACCAAAAAATCACTCCATATTGACAGACTAATTTTTAAAATGTGAAAAAAATGCAATGATGAAAAAAAAAGGATAAGCTGGATCTCGATAAAATGAGCTGACTAGCATATCCTGTCAAAAATTTCTATCAAAATCTAAAGTCCAAAATTTAACTAAAAATTATCCAAAAATCAATAAAATGAGATAAAATTCTCTCTAAATTTGAATTTTTCTAATTTTCAAATTTCAAAAGTTAAATTTGTCCAAATCTAAAATTTTGGGATTTTAAACTAAAAATTTCAAAAACCTTCTCCTGAAAATGAGCTAAAATTGAACAGTACTTCAGAATCACATGTCCACACACTGGGTAAAGTGGACCGGTGCCAGTACCCAAAAGCACTTCAGAATATTTTCGAGAAGAAAAATATACATGACGTTTTGAAAAGGCGGCCGCCTTTTTGAAGATGCCATTTTGGTGGGGAAGGGAAAAGATTAGAATATTAGAATTCAGAAGAAATTCAGAATCCCAAGAATCCAAGAATCCAAGAATCCAAGAATCCAAGGATCTTAGAGTCCAAGAATCCAAGAATCCAAGGATCTTAGAGTCCAAGAATCCAAGAATCCAAGAATCCAAGAATCCAAGAATCCAAGAATCCAAGAATCCAAGAATCCAAGAATCCAAGAATCCAAGAATCCAAGAATCCAAGAATCCAAGGATCTTAGAGTCCAAGAATCCAAGAATCCAAGGATCTTAGAGTCCAAGAATCCAAGAATCCAAGAATCCAAGAATCCAAGCATCCAAGAATCCAAGAATCCAAGAATCTAAGAATATAGGAATTTTGAAAAGAATTCAGGAATCAAAGAATCCAAGAATCCAAGAATCCAAAAATCCAAGAATCCAAGAATCCAAGAATCCAAGAATCCAAGAATCCAAGAATCCAAGAATCCAAGAATCCAAAAATCCAAGAATCCAAGAATCCAAGAATCCAAAAATCCAAGAATCCAAGAATCCAAGAATCCAAGAATCCAAGAATCCAAGAATCCAAGAATCCAAGAATCCAAGAATCCAAGAATCCAAGAATCCAAGAATCCAAAAATCCAAGAATCCAAGAATCCAAGAATCCAAAAATCCAAGAATCCAAGAATCCAAGAATCCAAGAATCCAAGAATCCAAGAATCCAAGAATCCAAGAATCCAAGAATCCAAGAATCCAAGAATCCAAGAATCCAAGAATCCAAGAATCCAAGAATCCAAGAATCCAAGAATCCAAGAATCCAAGAATCCAAGAATCCAAGAATCCAAGAATCCAAGAATCCAAGAATCCAAGAATCCAAGAATCCAAGAATCCAAGAATCCAAGAATCCAAGAATCCAAAAATCCAAGAATCCAAGAATCCAAGAATCCAAGAATCCAAGAATCCAAGAATCCAAG